GATCTTCTAGTGGACAACAGAATTAATGGTTCTGTAAATGAAAAAATGTTTTTCAGGTACTGAAGGAGCAAAACAGGACCTGCTCACCACACTGCTAATGTCTTTGGGATCCACCCATCCATTGTGTAAACACACACACATATATTTATATATATATATATATATATATATGGTTTTCGCATGGATGTGATCATAAAGCCAGCATGCTTTACCTGCCCCCACCAAACTATGTGTCCTTTGTTTTTTGTTTTTTTGTTGTTTTTTTTTTCTACACCAGTAACAGTAAAAGCAGATTAAGTGAGGTTTAGAGTTGACACATTGAACTGGACATGAGGAGATGTTCACCAACTGCGTTGTCCCTTTACCTGCCCGTTGCCCTCACATAATATTATTTCCAAATCATGATGCCTTCTCATGTACTTTCAAAGTTTTTGTAGGTTTTAAAACGTTTCCAACACAAGAACATGGTGGGCTGCTAGTGGACTGTCCTAGCGGCCCTACCATCAGGCTTAGCAAGTTTTCTGGGCGAATCACCTGAATCTGAGTCATTTAAAGACTCACCAAAGTGCAAAAACTGAGTTGAGGACTTAATTTTGCACCCTGGATCATATTCTATTGGCAAGCTTTGTGGAGCTGGCTGGTTTAACTGGACTGAACTACACCTTTGTTTTAAAGGTCAGGAAAGGCTAAAGTTGGTGCTTGAAGAAATAATTAGTTCTTTCCAGTCCACATTGGAAACCTAGCAGGGCTCTCAAAATCTGGTTCAGCACAGGGGGTTGGGGGGGGGGAGTACTGCAGTAATATAGAATTCAAGTAAACCTATGAGAGAAAAAATGCAAAGCAGAAATTGCAGATCATCGTACATATTAGCAATGGTGTAGTTTAGCAGCACTCTATGCTGTAAATGATCTGTTGCTGTAACCTGAATCTGGGGGATGGTTCATTACAGGAGATAATTTTGTATAGTTTCATTTTTATTTACAGGAAAAAAGAAAACAAATTGAAAAACTTATTGTAACATTATGCTTTATAGAGGGTGAAATTTTCTGGCCGCTTATCCAAGCCTGTGTATCAAAAGAACAATAAATAAATACAAAGTATTTTATTAAGTAGAAAACAACTGTTCCCTTCTACTTAAACAATAGTTTGCATTACCAAAGTACACAAAACTTTATTGCTATTCCACTAAAGTCGAAAAAACTTTAGTGGAATAGTGGAATTTCACAATTGCATTTTTTCCAGTAAATAAGAAACGCAACTAAAATCACATGTTGATCAAGTGACTCGTGATGTGGAAAATGTTTTTTCCAGTGCAGTTTTGCAAAAGACAATCATTTTGATAGGGCCAAAAGAACCACCTCATCCTGGCACAAAATCTTGTGAGTTTTTTAAAAATTGTCGTGTTTATTTTCATAATTACACATTTTTACGGTCAGTGGAAATACAGCTATTGTTGGAGGCTAATAGAAGAAATGATGACCCACAACCAGTTCGTTATAAATCTGTAGTGACAGAGATAAATCAGACCAGTGGTTCCTGAACCCATAAAGTAATCGGTGTTTATGACTCACAGATGTCTGCTGGCACTCAGTGACAGCGACATTCAAGTCTTAATGGGACCAGTGGTGGTCCATTTCAAGTCTTTTTGACCTTCCATTGACTTTTTCTTTTAATTAATGTAAAATCTAAAGGAGACTAATTTTCACTGCTTGCTCCTTCATCCTCCACCCATTGAATCTGCCTAATATCTCAGTTTCCTTCCACTTCATTCCTAATTATCCACATCTACCAGCTTTCTTGACTGCTTTTTTGTGATTTTTCTTCCCACTCAGCTGGAATTTGGTACTCGCAGAGAAGCCAGAGTTCACCTTGCAGATTTTTACCCCCCACCTCTTCTCCCTTTCAGCTTCAATCAGTCATCAGAGGCCAGGAGGAAAAGAAAACTTCAGAAGTCAGCCACCGTGTTCATTAAGACCATTAACATTTTTTATCCGTGATTATCCCCTTGAAAAACACCATCAGTCCATCTGAGCGTGCGCCTGTCTGAGTCACGTATTTAAGGGAATGCTGTCTGGAAGGAATGATGGGAAGGCCATTACAGGTGCATTGATTACGCAGATGCCTAACCTAATTACCACTTGACACATCTGTACGCATTTTAATCAGACAGCCAGCTTCATCGTAGTTGCCGTAACTCCTGTCTGGCTTCACCTCCTCATTTAATCCCCTTTGTGTCCTTTTTCTTCCTTGGCTTTCACTAATCTCCTTTGCACATGCCTTTTGTTAGTTTCCATCAGCAGGAAAACCTTCCAGCTTTTTCACACTTTGACTCACTTCAACCTCAATATTTAATGTATTTTGTAGTTGTTCTCCACGATATACCAATATTTTGAACACATTCAACTAGGACTGGACAATAAATCACCAACAATATATGTTGAGGTGGAGATATGATCAACATCCATAGATTACAATCCTGGACCTCATGGCATTCTGGGGGATGTAGGCAGAGGAAAGGCTTTGTCTGCTCAGCCTCTCACAGCGAGCTAAGCTAGGCTGGTGGCATCAACTAACTCACTCGCTCTTTGGTTACCTAGCAACAAACGACTGAGTACCTTGCAGCAGCAGTTTTATGTTTCACCACCGTGCCTCTTAGCTGCTTTAAAATAAACAACAAATTCATGGAGTATTAACTGTGGATAAAAGACAAAATGTGATGCCACCAGACTGGCAGTATATTTTGAATTTTATATTGTGATACATTTTTCAACCACATCATCCAGCCCCTACATTCAGCCTTTCTGTTATCTCTTCTGCTCTCTCTCTCCAAGCTCACAGATGAGAAAAATATTTCTCAATTTCTGACCACCTGGTCACTTATCAGGGCAAATGAAGTTAGTAATGATCTAATCCTGGACAACAGGTGTTAGTTATGGAGTGAAAAGTATAACATTCCAACTTCTAAGGCAGTTTTAGTTTAGTTTTTCTTTTCTTTTTTTTCAATAGTTCAGCTTGGACCATGTATGAATCAGTCTCATGGGGTCCTTGCTTCAGAGCTGGATTAGTGGCTTAACAATGCAATGTCAGATTTAATGAATACATTTCCCACTTATTGGGCCTTGTTGTCATGGCAGCCCATGCAAAAAAACTCAACCTTCTGTAGAGCAGGTTGGTTTTAAGATTAGAGACCAGCTCTTTGTCCATAATTTCTCACATAACATGGCTAAACTACTTTTTTTTTAAAGTGTTTTCTTAAAAATAATATTTTCTTAAATGCATGAAAAGGAAGCATCAGTACGTTGTCAGAAATGCACTATCCAACCTTTTTATTCCCAGACATTCACTCTGCCCTGGTCTGATATCTGCAGGTGATTTTATTCTGAGACTGATGTCTGGTACTGAACACTGAGCGAAGTCAAATACATTAAACATTGCTCATGTATAAGTTGTATTTGATATCAGTCTTTATTATTTCAGAGCTGTAATCTGTTAGAAACCAACCCACCTGCTCCTACAACTGCTAAAAACTGCAGATCAAACCTGAAGCAGGCTCCCTCTAAAACTGAAATTGCCTTTTTATTTTCTTTACTCTTCTAATCTTTACCAGGCTCATGGAGGGCTGGTGCCTTTCACCAGTGAATGATTACAACTGTCAGAACCAACCCAACCCCACAACACTAAGGCCAAGTTATTAAGGATAGAAAATATAATCAGAATTTGACATTGTATACCATTTTAATGTTTCTTTTTTTTTTTTTTTTTTTTTTGCTCTGCCTACCTGGATCACACACTGAGCACAAAGAACCAGGTTGGGGGGGGGGGGCAACGAAAAATCAGGCTAATGAAAACTCATCTTAATTATAGTAATGACAGTAACAATATTTAAAATGAGAATGTGTACAGCATGTTGATATATGTTAATGCTAATAATAATCAACATATGTAAAAAGAAGTAACACATTTACTGGCCAAGAAGATTAACCTACTTTGCACCTCTTCAGTCTCCTACATGCCACCTACTGTCTACTGTTGTAGACCAATAATAATATAATAACAATAATGCATTTAAAAGCAGTTATTCAACACTAATCTCCTCAAACCAATGAAAAAATGTCTTAATTTTTTAAGAAATTTGTCTTTTCATTCAGCTAAATGCTAAAACAAAGAGTTGTTTTTTTTTTTTGTTTGGATTTTTTTTTTCAATTCTATCTTCTGAAGTCAGAAGTCGACGTACATTTCTTTCATATTCAATAACATTGCCTTTAAAACTAAATAACTTGGGTTAAACATTTTGAGTATCCTTTCGCAGTTTAAAGTAGTTTGCTGTAATTTTTACTCTTTCCTCCTGAAACAACTGGCATAATGGTCAGTGACTCGATGCAGTCTGCTGTGTTTCCTTGTGTAGGAATGTTTTAAGCTACTTTGATAGCTTACTGCTCTGTTTGGACTGTCTTTATGATTGGACTGAAGCAATGTTTTTTGTAAAGTACCTGGAGAAATTTGTTATGAATTAATGCTATACCATTAAACTGAATTGAATTGAATAAATAAGTCTGATCTGTAGGCCGCCTGGCTTCCAGATTCCTGCTCTCTGCCCAGAAATGTTCTACTGGTCTGAGATCAGAGCTTTGTAATGGCCATTCCAAAACATTAACTTTGTTGTCCTAATTGTAACTGATTTGGCTGTATACATAGGGCCATTGTCTGTTCGGAAGATTAATTTGACCTGAAAAGACCAACTTATTTTCAACAAATTTCCAGCATTTGATTAAAGACATGGCATTTTTAGTGCATGTAAATGTGTTAGTGTATGTGAAATATCCCTCACCGTTCTCCCTCTTAGGCAGTATAGATTATTTTGATCATGCTTACTGACTTGGAACTGAAAAAGACTTGCCCTATTTAATGTCAAACTTCTGGTTTTAACCGTTATCTGAGTAATGATGATGTCACCTAGTATTTGTCCAGACTAACTCAACACGTTGCCCTTTCCTAAACAGGTAAATGCGTTCCTGTCCTTTGTGTTGCCGATGGTTGCCATCTCCGTGCTCAACGGGGTCATAGCCAATCAGCTGCTGCGGATGTTCCAGGAAGCTGAGCAAGACAGCCGCATGTCCATCACCAGGGGAAATCCCACCATGCTGAACATCACAGTGGAATCAAACCGCGCTCAGTCGCTTCGCCATGGAGTTCTCGTCCTCCGTAAGTACAAACCGCTAAAACTTAAAAATCCACAAAAAAGAGGTTTGAAGATGTCAAAAGTACGTTTGTCGTCAGGTGACAGATTTTCTTCTACCTTTCAAGTCTCTTCTGTTGCAACTGCGTCCTTTTAAATTCTTGTGCTCACCTTTAGTTATCAAAAGCCAATCACAACTTTAAGGTCAAACAAGTTTTAGTTGAAAATGTTTCACAATCAAAGTGTGAGAAAACGGTGGGAGCCATTTGAAATGTAAGTAAGGTAAGAATTGGCTCTACAATGAATTTTTGGCATTTTCATTGTTGGCATTCAGCAAAATTTCGCTCAACACATATATTGCAAATGTGCAGCTGAATAACAATAAAGTCTATGTCTGTGTGATTGCTACTCTCACAGGTGGGTGAAAACGAAGCAGTCAGAGATTCCTTGTTACAGGCCCATGAATTCCTTTTATATTTTCTGTGTCATCTTTAGAGAAGCTCTGTTGAAATTCTGGGCACAGGAAAGTGACTGTCCAGCCTGCATTCAGACCCTGATCCTTTATGGGCCACTGGCGTTTGAAGAGACATCAACCACTGATCGCCAAAATCCACATAGACTTCAGATCTCCTTTAAGATGCTAATAACACATTGAACTAGTTTTCATTTTGTAATAACTACTCTCTGCTCCATGTCTGCACTTGGTTCACAAAGCAGTTAGCTCTGACAACAGACCAGGGCAAAGATACGCTCATGTATATGGCAGCTTTCACAACTTCTTTGGTTTCTGGTTGTAGTTTTGTCTCTTACCAATCCAAATCTAAATCTACAACCTACATATGGTCTACCATGCAAACTAACATAAAAATCTCATAGAGAAAGCACCAAAAATGTTTGTCTTCTGGCAAAGGAACAAAGACGTTCTTATAAACTTACTTTTAAATCTCTATTCAAGACCCAACTATTGTTTTTAATCTTTGTAAATCTACTATAGCATCTTTGAATATCTTTAAAATATAGACATAAAAATAGTTTCCCCACAAAACACAATCAAGATGCTTCATTCAAATGTGGCTAAACAGCATAAAGATGTAACGTTTGCTTGGCAGCAGCGTTTGAGGGACAGATCTTCATTTCTAACACTTTGATATATGATATGCGTTGATTTAAAAAAAAACACTTAGAAAGTGGTTTGCATACATTTTGTGCAAAATTCTGGATTGGGTTTGACCATCTATGTCAATGAAAAAAAAACAAAAAAAAAACTTTTTTTTAAAGTTTTGTAGCAGTATTATTGAAATGAAATCAAATCTGCTCTTCAAAAGTGTTTTTTTACTCAGAGTGAGAATACTTTAACATGTAACTGCTACACATCTAGCAACAAAGACATCCAACAAATAAAAAAAGATTGTAAAATTACAGAGTGAAATGAGAAATTGATTTCCTGCGGTTGGGAGAATACATACAAGGCCAAGCGCACCATCTGTCTCTCAGTTTTCATTATCAGTCATAAAGGAATAAGTGACATATACAGGATGAATCTGGAGAAAAACCTGGAAGGTTCATAAGGAGCCCTTTGACTTTCATTATATTAAGATTGAGATTGTAATGTCAAAGTGACTAAGGGTCCAATTTATCTTCGGTGAAAAATGTTGAGGTTCAAATCTCACCTTGGCAGCAATACACTTATCTTCTGCAAAATCCAAGCAATCACGGATGACTCTAAAATTTCCTTTCAATCAATTATCGCAAACAAACTTAAAATAATTTACTTGAGTTTGTTTGACCTCACCGAGCAGTTGTGGACTCGCATCAACACCGACACCAAACTGAGATGGAAACGACATTTAAATACCTCAGATTTATGCTGTTCTTGTGACTTAATTAAACCAAATTGAAACACATTTTGCTTAAGAAGTGGGCACAAAATTAAGGTCCATGTTAAAAGGATTTACCTCAAAGAGACATGAAGTGGAGTTTGAAACAGAACAAGCTGAAAAGGTCTAATCTTTTAATTTTATTGAGAGGAAGACTTTTTTTTTTTAACCAACACATTAGCCAACCAGCCAGTTGGGAGGGTGGTAGAGGTAGTGTGTTTGTTTGGAAATATAAGACCTTTAAAAGCCATTCACTGACTGCACAATTTGTACTGTATAATGTATTCTAATGATTAAATGACCAGCTGAAAATGTGAGAGCTATTTTATACAGAAAAGTGGGCAAAAAATGATCTCTCTGAATGTGACACATCGCTCAAGACCTGCAGCTGTAGCTGCTACTAGATGTGGCTCAACAATGAATTTACCCAGGCAGGCTGAATTCAGAGACCATGTAATATATATATTTTTTCCACTTCACCATTATGTTAGCATGACCATTGCCGTACTGTGCAATTTGGGTCGACAAAAGTTCTGGTTTCAAGCCCAGTCTAGGTTTTCTCCAACTTCAGCTTTGTCCTACTTCCTGTATCTTCCTGATCATGCAATTTTGGCTTAGAAAAATAGCTAAACAAGAACAGGTAGAAAACAAATTCTTCATTTTTTTTTTTCTTTTTTGAACCGATTTCATCACCTAATTAGGATGAGATTCTTTCTTGGTATCTGAACTCTTAGTCATTTTTTTATTGCTGTTATTTTGGTGCCTTAACCACAAATGCTGACTCTATTCAGAAAATGAATCAGCAGCACATTTACAGGCAAATTAATAACCGTCCCAAATGACGTGTTAGCTGTTGCCAGATCGAGTAATTATCTTCACCGGTCTCCCCTCTGTTCTGCTTTGATGCATGTGTGTAATCGGTGCTTGAATCTGCTTGCTGTGTGTTCTTCCCACCAGGACATGCGAAGTGTATTTACAAAGTCTTTGCGTGGAGCTCATGAACACACACACACACATGCACGCACACGTACACTGTGTAAACACAGTAAACGGAAACTGTAGCACTTGCATGAAATGAAATAATACAAGCCTTCCCTGCGTCTGTTGGCACATTGGGAATAATGTGTTGATCAATGTTGGAAACGAAGTTGCTGACCTGCATATTGATGGAGCAGTTGGTTTTGTCCCAGCTGTTGCATCTGTTCAAACACACACACACACACACACACACACACACACGCACACACACACACACACACACACACACACACGCACACACACACACACACACACACACACACACACGTTAAACAACATCTTGTGTATATCTTAATGATGGCATTAGCGGTGAAGCTTAGGCGCCTAATACAGAATCTTGTTCCTGCTAATGACTAAATGAGAGAGTACTGCAATGTTATTTCTTATATTCGCTCCCTGCAATGTTGTGTTTACAGCGTTTAGAATGTCTCAAACAGCGAGTCATGGTTGTCATTACTCGGACTGCTCCTTTAACTGTGCCTGTTTGCATGAGGAGTCACATTTAGCTGCAAAACTTTCAGGGGAATAAACTCTACGTGTGCCTAGCGGGAAAAGCGTTCCTGCTGCCGGCAGTCAAGTTTATTTGTTTATCACATTTCAGCAGCAAGGCAGTTCAAAGTGCTTTGCATCATAAAAACACAAAGTCAAAAAAGACACCATGCAGTCAACAACTGAGCAAACCAGTTGTAAACCCTACATTAAGAGGATTGCCATTATCAAAATCCTCAGTAAGCAACCCATATGTTGGTGAATGTTTCTTCACATATTATGGTTCAGAAGCAGCTCTAAACAGGTAGGGTTTTTAATCTTGATTTAAAGTAACTCGGTTTTTCGGCTGTTTTGCTGTTTTCTGGAAGTTTGTTCCATATTTGTGCAGCATAGAAGCTGAATGCTGCTTCTCCATGTTTGGTTCTGGTTCTGGGGATGCAGAGCTTGATAGCAGTTGTTGCTGTACACTGTGGAACAAACTTGATTTTTGTACATATTTATATTTAAGTTATTTTTTTGTTTTTATCTCAAACACTTAAGTGTGACAGACAATTAAAACCAGCAGACACAAAACACGTTGAACTTGGACTAAAAAAAAATCACTGTGAAAAACAAAAATGACAGATTTGTGAAATTGGCTAGGCGGAAGTCCATTATTTTGTTTAGCAGAAGATACAGAGACGTAACTGAACGGACTGACCCAAAAGAGAATATAAACAAATGTACACAGCATCTAGAGAGACTAAATTAAACTTATTCTGGTTTCCTCGATATTAAAGTACACAACAGAGTGGATTTTGCATATGTCCTCTTCAAATGAGCACCTTTAAGATAACCAAGGACCTTCTTAGCGAAGACCTTTAAGTCTCTGTTGAATATAGATCATTCCAAATGCTTTTTTATGATTTCCAGGAAATCATGCCAAGTTCTTTCTAACCCGTAAGGCAGGTAATTTAATTTGTTAGAAAAAGAAAGTAATAGAATTATTACAGAAGCTCTTGCCTTTCATTTTTTACAAGGACAGACAGAAACCATAGTCTCTCCATCTTTGTCTTCTCCGTTTGCCGATCAATCACCTTTCAACCTTTTGACAAAACAGTCTGAATTATTGAGGTCAATTTTTTTATTTTTTTTATTTTTTGGTTGTCTTCATGGAAGCTACGCACTTTTATTTTTTAAACTCATTCATTCTCTTCACATGCTTGACTGTGTTTAGTCTTTTAGTGTTGCGACTGTTGGAGAGGCAGAGCAAAACCTCAATCAGCAGCAGTTGATCATAGTAGATGAACTGGCAAATTAATAACCCGGAATGCCGGACGGTTCATTTAGATTCATCAGTTACGCTCTGTAAACACTTAGTGTTTGCATTGCTGATCATTGTTTTCATAACCTGTAATTTACTCCAGTTGTGGTTTAGTGGAGTTTAACAAGTTGTTGGTGCTGCTTCATATCCCAGGTTTATTCATGCCAGCCCTGTTGGCCAGGAAGCTTCACAGTTAGCTGAGTCCAGTTTGCGTGGACGATGTCATCTATTCATCTCAAGACAAATGATTATCTTCAGATTTCTCAAGCAAGAAGGTTTCCCCGCATATTTTCTTGGACAATCTGAATCCTTCTTCACA